CTGAATACTTTCCGTACCCACTGTATATACAGTACATATATATATTTAAAATGTAGTTTATTCCTGTGATAAAAAGCTGAATTTTCAGCAGCCATTACTCATTCTAAAATGCTGATTTGCTGCTCATAAAATAATTCTTATTACTATCAATGTTAAAAACAGTTGTGCTGCTTAATATTTTTTGTAGAAAGACTTAAACTGGAAATGGTTGCTATGTAGTTTCCTGAGCGACGGCAGGTTGGGCTCTGGTGGCACAGGTGTTGGGTTACATGTGGTGGCTGGGCACACAGGGCCGTACACAGGACAATAGCATCAGTCTGACCTCCGTTTCATTTGACACTTGGGATGCACGGATCTCAGCCGGTGTGTGTAGATCTGAATGGCCCTTTTTGTGGATGCCTCCATTGCATGTGCGAATGGGAATTTTTTTCTCAGACTGGCAAAACCTGATTACAACAGACTCTCAAATTGGAGAGTTAGGAATGAAATACCAGAAACTGTGTAAATACGGCTGCACAATTGATTTGAAATATGGCCTTTATTATTAATTTAATACATTTTTAATGTAAATATATTTAAATATATTTTAAGCTAAATATTTAAGCTAAATAAATTGTTTGACATGTTTGCGCTTATATTTGACACAGCTTTTGTCCAAGCAAGCATTAATCAGATGTATGGCAGTAGCACAGAGCAGAAAAAGGCTGTTTATATCAGTCACATTCTTTTATGCATTCAACTGTCAGCCTACATGCATTGCATTCCTGTTGCTTACAATTGTGCAACCCAGTATATACAAATAAAAACTGAAAGTGACTGTATCTGAGAAAATCTGTTATGTTGAAAAAAGTGTAAAAGAAAATCATATTTGCATTGTAGTCAGGGCTCAATAATAGGGAGACATTCTGCTGTTGTTCAATTTCTACTTACCCTGTCAACATTTTAACCCCAATATTGTGACCCATTACATCATAGACATTTTAAAATATATAGATTTCTGCATATGTAATTTAGATTTTTAATTAAACATTTTCTTTACAAGGAAAATCATTTTTTGATTCTCCTCCTTTTAAAAATAAGTGATGACATTCATATCCACATATAAACAGCATAGCAAATGAGACCTTTTGGAGCTTGAGACCACCTGCAGTAAAACTAGAGCCATCACTGATGGTTTACATGTCCTCAGATGTAAGCATAAACAATCAGGGCCAGGGTTTTAAAAGATCTGCCTCGTCAGAGGCGTTTTGAGATGTGCTAATTGGTTGATGTTCAGTGTCGTCCTGTGGTGCTGTCAGCACAGACGCTGGTGGATCCTCTCTTATTGATGTTAGGCTTTTAAAGGGCAGCTTGGCTTTCAGAGGGTGAGGAGGCACATGACAACATCTAACGTAAGGCTCTCTGATATTAGAGAAAAACATAATTCTTTTGTTTTTATTAGTGATTAAATATTGCATTTGTTTATTTTATAGTTGGCTCTATCGCGTGTGTGGATGCTGCAGGTGGCAGATCATTTGTAGCCTCCTCTTATATCAGCTGGAATCATGAAACTTGTCATTAACGAAAAAACAGTGCATGATGGTAATGAAACACATGTAAGTGACTGAAATTATATTCCAGTTTTAAATGTGCATCTGATTACAGATACGTGGGATTACTCTGTACTTACAAAAGATTTGTATTTCAAAGAGAACGAGTTTTAAGGAACATTAAATTGCTTTTTGAGGTTAAAATAATTTTTTTTCCCGATGAAATTCGAATGGTATGACAATTGAACAGAAATCGATATCCACAGATAACGCTAGTACACACTTAATACATGTAGTCATGCAATGTTGGTGTTTTTAACATTAACAATTTGAGAACAAAGTATAAATTCAGAGCTAACTTTGCGATCATTAGATTTAATCACCATTGGTAGCACGATTTATTGTAAAACAACTTTTTTTTTTTTGTTCAATTGGTCAGAACAAAACGACAGACATGGTACTTTTTCATATTACATTTTCTGGTGAAACTTCTTTTTTTGGACATTCTTCCAAGACCTAGTATCTGTAATTCCAATGTACAGTGAATATCCACACTGGTGCTTTGACTGACAGCCACACATACTCCTCAAGGCATTTGATTCATCCACGCTGAGGAGCCGTGCCAAAACACAACCCATGTAAAGAAGATCATTCCGCAAATAACTGCAATCGCAGGTTTCAAACAGAGATGGTGACAAAGAGGAAAAACTTACAGACTGCAGCTTTAAAATTAAATGGGTCATTACATGAGGCTATTCTTTAAGGCATTTATATAAACAGCTTATTCACATATTAAAATATTATTTTATATTTTTATTAATAAATAATGATAATTATTATTTTTTAAATAATTTTTTTCTGATATATTCTATCCATGTTATCTCACAGTGACTGGATAGCATGGGAGATTTTTTCCCGCCATGGAATACAAATATATAAAATGTAGTTGTGACTTTTTATCTCACAATTCTGACTTTTTTTTCTTACAATTGCAAG